TTTAAAACGAGCATAGGATCATGCCTATGATAGAAAAACATTTGATTCATATGCAAAGGTCCAAGAAGTCAAGAAAACATTATAAATGAGCAGATGAGTCAGGTCCAGGATCTTTGGTCAGCTGTCTACTTCTGATGTTGTCTTTTTCTCATCCTGCTGTGAGTGTCGCTTCTCCTCTGTTTGAGCGTTGTTTTAAGGTGATTTTGAGGTCACCCGTCCTCTCTATAGGCCAGTCCAGTACAGGGGCCCTTTGTGAGTGGAAATTAATCCAAGAGTTAATTCCCTTTAGTTTTACTGTGTATGAGCTAGTTAAGAGTACCTGATAAGGGTACTTCCATCCAGTTTGGAGATAGTCCTTTAAATTATGTCTTTTCCAGTATGTATAAATCCCCTGGTTGTAGGTCGTGGGCCATCTGATCTTCATCCAAAGATAGATTACTGAGATAAGCTTTAGATACAAACTTAGAGTGTCCTTTAATAATTCAAGTAAACTTTTTAGCAATATAACATAATAGCAAGGAACTATCTGGGAAGTGAGTCTTGGTAAACACAGACCTTAATTAACAAAACTAGAATTTAATATTCAGTAAAACATAATTTTTTTACTTCATTGTGAGGGCATTAACCCTGCAGCCAGGGAAGGCTTTATCCCATCAAATAAAATTGAGGTTTGTCATGGAGCTGGAAAAAGCCAAGCAGCCGTCTTGGATTTTCCACAGCCCTGCTTGTTTGACAGCTAATGTTTACCCATTTTAAATTCCCTGATTTAGGAGTAGACTGTTGTCATGTTTTAAGGACATCAGGATGGCAAAAGTCTGACACTGAGGGGGTAATTTTTGTGGAAGCAGAATGAACTTTACCTACATGTGCCATAATCTTCACAGATCATTGTGAAATAATACTTATTTACTTTACCAAAGTAACAAAAGATTTTAAAAGCAAATGTAAATCACTTAAAGGCAAAGAAATTTACATAGTCTGTTATTAAAGCAGCATTCCCAGAAAACTTTGTTCTCTTAACAGAGAGGGGGAACCAAATTTCAGACTGGTCTCAATAAACTTGGCCTGATGATTTATATAACTGTAATTGATCATATAGGCTTTTTGCTTGCTGACACTTTTATAAGGAATCTCAGACTAAACTTTTAAAAGACCTCTCAGGAAAGTCACACTAGGGGCTTGTCACAGATTTCACTTACCAGATCTAGGTGAATTCCTCCCTTTTCAAGGTCCCCAAAATACCTTGAGATTTCTGTACCTGTTAGTGAGGTAGCCTTCCTAATTTATCTGATAAAGGTGCTGGGGACCTAAGAGTTTCCAATCTCTGGAGGCAGTAGATAGAGAGAAAAGATAAATGTTTTAATTTTACCCATAGGTGTAAATTATCAAGTTGCTGTAAACCATAAGTAGCTTGAGGAGAAGAGCTTCTTTATATCCAGTTTAGCATTATGGTCTGAAAGTCAGAAACTTGTATTTATCCAAAAGTCCTTTTTCTTTTTTTTTTTTTTTATTAATTAATTAATTTATTTTTGGCTGTGTTGGGTCTTCGTTTCTGTGCGAGGGCTCTCTCTAGTTGCGGCGAGCGGGGGCCACTCTTCACTGCGGTGCGCGGGCCTCTCACTATCGCGGCCTCTCTTGTTGCGGAGCACAGGCTCCAGACGCGCAGGCTCAGTAGTTGTGGCTCGCGGGCCTAGTTGCTCCGCGGCATGTGGGATCTTCCCAGACCAGGGCTCGAACCCGCATTCCCTGCATTAGAAGGCAGATTCTCAACCACTGCGCCACCAGGGAAGCCCCAAAAGTCCTTTTTATAAATCTTGAAGAGGAAGCATTTTTGCAAAGGCATCAGAGTGAAACCGTAAGTGTCTACTTTATAGACTTAAGGCAAGTTTAAAATCTGACTACAATGTAATTAACAAGGTAACTTGGTTACTGTTGTAACATATGACACTTAAGATAATAACTAGAATTATGACTGATAACATTTTATCAGGACATATTAGAATTTTTTTTGAAACTCCATATAATTTCTAGAATATTTATATTAGTAACAATTACCATACAATATAACCTAAGAAGATTTATTACACAAGTATTTGACAATACTTCCTGTGTACTTTTAACATAACCAAATGAACCAAATTAATGTAATATCTCTCTTTGGGATGTTTCAGGGGCCCTTTGAAGAACCCCAAAGTTAGCTAGAGGTCAAAGAAACTTCTTCACAACTTGATTTGGGAAGTTTTATCAAAAAAATCAAAAGGGTTTAAAACAGTCAGATAAGATCATACATCACTGTGAAACAATAGTTATTCACTTAGCCAAAGTAACAATAAAAGATTTTAAAAGGGGCTTCCCTGGTGGTGCAGTGGTTAAGAATCTGCCTGCCAATGCACAGGACACGGGTTCGAGCCCTGGCCTGGGAAGATCCCACATGCTGCGGAGCAACTAAGCCCGTGCACCATAACTACTGAGCCTGAGCTCTAGAGCCCGCAAGCCACAACTTACTGAGCCCACGTGCCACAACTACTGAAGCTTGCACGCCTAGAGCTTGTGCTCCTCAACAAGAGAAGCCATGACAATGAGAAGCCCACACACCGCAATGAACAGTAGCCCCCGCTCACCGCAACTAGAGAAAGCCCACGCACAGCAACGAAGACCCAACTCAGCCACAAATAAAAATAAATTAATTAATTAAATTAAAAAAAAAAGATTTTAAGGGCAAATATCGAACTGATCACTTAAAAGGTAAAGAAGCTTAAAATCTGTCATCCAAGGCAGTTCAACATCTTAAGAAAATTTTTACCATGCATAAAACTCCTTTCTCAGGGTCCACTTTCCACAAACTTTTTTATCACTTTCTGTATCCATCACTTTATTTTCCCATTCAGAGACAACCACCTGTAAGTTAGACCTACTTCCTTTTCTCTTAATAAACTGCAATTCCATTCCTCATACCTTCTTTACTAAAAACATACATCCTACTCTCCTTAAGCAACCATGAACTGTCCTTTATATCAGCACTCTGTAGATTGGTAAACATACATCCAAATAATAATTTTTGAAGAATGTGCTTTCTTATAGAAAATATCTCAGTGTGGCACCAAACACATTTTTTAATAGTTCTAAACCTTTTGTTTCTCTGTAAAAGGAAGCCAGTGTTCAGTAATTAATGTTTCAGTATCTTATTTTATTTGGAAATGGCTTCGTTATTTAATAAACTTCCATCCTTTAACTTAACACAACTCTAAATTTTCAAGTTGTCAAATATCTGGAGAGATCATTCTTAAGTAAATATTCTTAAAACATAATTATTCCTAAAGAGTTCACCCAAAGCTCTTATCTCACTTGTAATTTTTTTCTTAAAAGTTTCTTCTTATCGAGTTATTTTCATTGCTGACAAATTTGTAACAAATATAATAAGATCTTATTTAGTTTATATTAAACCTAAGCACAATGAAAGTATTATACTTAATGTTGATGGCTTGAAAGACATGTCTATATTAATTAGATCAAGAAACTTAAACATTAATACCAGGTATTAGGGACTTCCCTGGTGGCGCAGTGATTAAGAATCCACCCTAACGGGTTTGAGCCCTGGTCCAGGAAGATCCCATATGCCGCAGAGCAACTAAGCCAGTGCGCCACAACTACTGAGTCTGCGTGCCTAGAGCCCGTGCTCCACAACAAGAGAAGCCACTGTAATGGGAAACCCGAGCACCGCAACGAACAGTAGCCCCCGTTCACCCCAGCTAGAGAAAGCCTGTGCGTAGCAACGAAGACCCAACACAGACAAAATAAATAAATAAATAAATTTACAAAAAAAAAAAAAACAGGTATTAATTTAATATTGAATATTTCCCAGTTCATTTGAACCTGAAATTTATTTAATTTTTCTTGTATTTAGAATTGTTTGATTTGTAAGCACTTACTTTTCTTTTAAGCCAATTAAATAGAGCTCATTTACAAATTAATCTCAGTAACATTATCCAAAGACAAAAACACATGCTGAGACATACACATATATCCAGACAGACAGAGATCTCATAGTTTCTACTTGAGATTTAAAATGTCTCTTTGCCGTTTTTTGTTTTTCTTGGCTTGAAGTTCTATTAATTAACGCAAGGCTGAAATCTCAGGCAAAGTGGGCTATGTTTGTAGCTCAACGACATGATAAGAGTTAACTTCAAGCTTTGTCCTAGGCATATTTTTGTTCTCTCAGGGTCAGAATTTTGAAGAAAAGTATTTTAACAAGCTAGCTTTTTCTAATTGCACATGCAAAAATAATTCGTTTTGCAATTTTAAGAACAGTTTTATTTTAACCAATTTTCTCCAGAGTCTAAAGAATATTGTGGCCATACTGTCAAAAATCATCTTTCTCTTTCTGTGGTCATGGTTTCATAGCTAAAATTTAAATCAGATAGTGCTCAAATTGGCTCTGATAACAGGGGCAGACTGGCTGATAAAATGTCCCAACAGGGATTGTCCCTCTGGGGAGGTGGGGTCTTAGTTTGGTCAGAAAAATCTGAAGGAGTGAGGGAACTTGGCTCCTCTCTTACCCTGAGAGTTGGGAGAAGTTAGAAGAGGATCATTTAGAATGTTGGAGAGTGTTTTCTTGTTGTTGTTTTTTTCTGATTCCTCAGTCCTTTGATTATGGAGCCACCTAGAGCAGGATTATAATAAAAGGGGCATAAAGTCCTGAACATAAGGGAATCTCAGTCCATTTTTCCCATCCTGTGGCAATAAAGATCTAATTGTAGGAGACCCATTTTCAGGCCATTTTTCTTTGTCATTGGATCATAGCTATTGGTCGACTAGTCATTTAAAATTTTCCGTAAGGGTTCCCAGGTTGGGGTGGAACCTTAGAGGAAGCACTTCCCATTTTGGCCCCAGCAGTTGGTAACAGACTTTAGACGTTAGATGTTAGCGCGCTCAAATCAAAACATAAACCTTCACCTCTTCAGCTGTGTCCCCCCTTCTGCCTGGCAGAAAAATAAAGCCACCTCTCTTTTCCTCCAAAATCTCTGTCTCCATATTTTTGTTCGGCATCGGTGCACAGGGAAGCCGATATTTCGGCAACAACTCTAGTCGGGATGGTGTAAATAGGAATGGCCTTGGTCTTGAGGATGGGGTTGTTTGAACAAGTTAATTTCCTGATTCTGATAACATCTTTCAAGCCCCAGCTTTAATGAAAGCAGAAATGCCTTTTTTTTTTCATGCAATTATTTTTCTCAGAATGGGGAATGAAAGAAATCCAAGATTTCAGAAATTAGAAACTGGCTTTATTCCTTTTCAGGCTGCAGACTCACAAGAGGCTTAGTTTCAGGGACGAATTCAGGAAACCTGAGAAATAGATAGTGACTTCTGCTCGCTTTGGTTTCTCAGTTTCAACTTCTGCTTCTAGCCACACCTTGTCCCCCTTTTTCAGAAGCATAATTATAGCACCAGAGATATTAACATACACTTTTTTGGCCATCAGATCCTTTTCCAAAACTTGGCTTTGGTTCGTCATTAGCCAAACCTTCACCTTGCAGTGGCAAAGCTCTACATCAAAGTCGAAATAGTAATTTCCAGGAATCCTGCAGGACCTAGGAGGAACACAGAACAGTCTATGAGAAACTGATACCTTAGAGGAGCGTGTATCCTTCCAGAATGCACTGGTGGTGGTGTGATTTCACACACTGAACTTGAGATGCACTGCTCTGCAGGTTGTTCTGTCTAGACTCTAATATCTGGAGCTTCAATTCCTGTCCTAGCTCCCCCTGTGCTATCAGTGTCCTCAATACAGTGTCCCGTACTTGCTCTATTTTTGTCTGGTATTCCTGGATCCAGATGCTGAACCTTCCCTGGAGCGAAGTCTCGAGGACTGCTATGCTATACTTAGGCCAGTACTGACCACTTCAGGACTGCTGCAGTTTTGTATTTGGTGATCCTTATTCAGAGCTTGGAAACTTGAGCTTGTTATCCACTAGCCACCCCATCCCTGCCCCCCAGGGAACTTCTTTCACTTTTATCTGAGCAAGCTATGCATCAATCAGAATGTCAATTTTACATTAGCCTTCCTGTGGGGATTAAGATGCTACCTTGCTTAAGAGTGTGAGCTTTGGCTTATAAAGGAAATAGTGTAGGTCATATCTCATCCCTGGGCAAGTTTCTTAACATTTGTAAGGGTCCATTTTTTCATCATCCACAAAAGCAAGTCATGATATATACTCTCATTGGTCTGTTCTGGAAAAAAGTTAGCATTAAATATTATGTTTGCTCTTATGATTATAACTGCTGGCCTCTAAGTTTTGGACTGTGATCTATGCTCCTAATAAGATTTTAGGATAATGTCATAATAAAGAGGCAGTGTCAAAAATCATTTTACTGTACTTTTTCTTTTCCCCTTACTTTATGGGTCTGCAATTTACTTCATGACACTATTCTTGAATCCAAGAGCCTGGGTCTCTTATTTTCAGGAAAAACAAACTTCTGAATCACTAAATCTTAGACATTTGATCCTAGGATAGGGGCCCATGGATATTCAATGACAATAATGGCCCTATAAGAAAATTTTCAAAATATGTGAGATTCTCTGGGGGATGGGGGAGGCTTTGACTCTGTCTTACTCAGCTGCAAGCAGCAGTTTATAAAGCCTCCCCATTCTGAGTGGTTCTTAAACTTTGGCATGCATCAGATTCACATGGAGCCCTTATTAAAACACAGATTGCTCACCTCCAGAGTTTCTCATAGACTAGATCTGGGGTAGAGACTGAAATTTGATTTTATAAGAATATCTCATGTGAAGCTGGTGCTGCTGGTCTGTGGACAACACTTGGAGAACCTTGACTCTGACTCATCCATTTTGAGCCTACACAGTGAGGACAAGCAGCACACCAGGGACCCCGCGTTGTAACCAGTGAGAAGGATCTAGAGCATAAGCATACGCAGGGCTTACTGAGTGCCAACTTTCCCATAATATCTGGACTTGGTACAGTCTTTGTGATCAAATGCACACCTTCTCATATAGTACTATGTGCTATAGGTTCCACTAGCTTGTTTTTTTCCCTCTTAACTAGAAAGACTCTCCTGATGCATGATTCCACCTCTGCAACTACGAGTTTTCTTGACATCTCCACTACATTGACTTACCCTTACGGAGCAGTTGCCTTAAGTAACAACCTGGGTCTGGACTTGGGTCAGATTCCATAGTCTTCATAAGACCTGTGGTTTGGGCTAATGAACAGTCTGCTAAAGAAGCCCTTTGTGCAGTCCATAAGTTTCCCCAGATTCTTTCTATTCTTACTTGCTATCAATACCATGAAGATTATGACATTTTACCCAAAGAGAAAGGGGGAGGGGAAATTAAGAGACAGAAGAAAAGATCCTACTTCTAGGACCTGCAACTCCAAGAGGCCCCAGAGGTCCAGGAGGCCCTGGAGGTCCATAGCATCCAATTTACTCAATGAAAGTATTTGCTATCAGAATAGACATAGTGAATCTCCACACACCTAGAACAAGAAAGCAAAGAGGAGTTATTTGCTCATGCAACTTGTGTGGGTAGAATTAAAGCGTGGTGTGTCAAAATTATACATTGACTCTGGAATCACACATACTTGGATCCAGCTAATTGAGCATGTTAAACTCTACAGTTTAGCTGGCTCTTTTAATTCCTCTGTTCTGTTATGAACCATCAGACTGAAATCACTACTCATTTACAAATGTTATTTCACTCAATGTTATTTATCTCCTTTCTTATCCATCTCTTTATCAACTGAACACAATGAACACTTAATAAATAACATTGGCCTGTTATATGAATTATTATTAACAGAGGCTCCTAGGTATTGCCAATTTTGCACAGGACACAATACTAGAAACAATATTTTTTAAATCAAATTTCCATTTCAATTATATAAGAGATTAGTTCTTGGCCCACAATCACAAATAAGAAAATTGAGATTCAGAAAGTTATAATGACCAATCCAAAACCAGAGAGCCAGAAAGAAAAAGGGGTAGGATCTGAATCCTAGTCTGAGTGTGGACCATTATTTGAATGAGTTAATAAATGAATGAATGCCTACACTATATGGTCCTGTCCTTTCCCGTCCCCAGGTGCTCAGCCTTATATCCTTAAAAAAAAAAAATTTACCCTTATATCCTTTTTGTAAACATGCCTTATATTTAGGCAAATAACAAAAAGCAGCCTGGACTGTTTGTCTTTTATTTATATTTTTCTCCTGTCCCCCAAAGCAGAAGCCCCTAGAAATAATATGTAGAAAATTCCATGATCAACATTGGAGGTTTCAGTGCCCTATTAAGTCCAGTTATTCCTAATCCACCCTCTCCTAGGGACCAGGCAACTGGACCATCCCTTCCTGCAGCTTCATCAGGTCCCTACCAGTGATTCTCAGACAAAGAGACTTAGTTCTTCTTGGGCTGGCTTCTCCCAATGTGAAGGATCCCTGTGTTACTCCAGCTGTTAAATCTGAAGCAGGGGCCCCTGTTAGCACTCCACCGTAGCAGGAACTTCTTAAAGGTTTGAAGTCACCTCTTCAATATTTAAATATTTTCATGCAATCCAACCTGGGGTCACAATAAGATTAATGTTCAACCATAAGCAGGATTTGAGGTCACCTACCCTGACTAGCTCCAGAGTTCGGACTAGGAAGATTCTAGAATCCTGGTCACCCCCCGAGTTTCCATCAGAGATATCTCTTATGGCAACAGCTGCTGCTACAGGTAAAACCAAACCTCTAGAGTGTGATTTTCCTTACTCCTTTACTACTCTTTGAATACTTTCTTGCTGTACCTAATCTCAGATCAGGAGGCAGTGAAAGCAAGCTCCTGGATGAGAAATCTGTGTAGGTCAAAGAACTGGGAACCATGAGAACTTAATCACTGGGGACAAAAACAACCATTATTTGAAGTCCAACGTGTAGTATATGTAAGTTAGTGTCGTTAATGTTAATACGTGAACACCACATAGGAAAAACAATGTCTGTCTAGCTATCATTATTACTCATGCATCATCTCTTGAAATCGCCATTACAGTACCATGACTACCATGACTATTTTTTACCTGGCTTTTGTTGATTACCCACTCATCATGCAGGTCACAATATTTCTCTGTTCTCTGTGTACCACTTACACATTAGTGGACGAATCCACAGGCTCAACCAGACTCAGGTTCAATCGTTTTGAGAACACTATAGATGGTATTATGTTTCTTTTAGTGATATTAGTAGGTACTGATGCTAGGTGCCCAGATCCATTAATTCATTGCTGTTTCAAAACAGTGTTATTCTATGTTCTATAATATGTTTTTTCATGTATTAGTTGGAATAACTTGATAAAGACAGTCAACTCTTTGTCTACTTTTTGATTGTCTATGATCTTTTTCATTTGGTAGTTGGAATAATTTGATAGTGAGACTCTACTCTTCATCTAGTATTTGGCTACCCAGGGGTATAATTCATATAAGAAAGGCAGAACAAATGCTTGACTGTTTTTCTTTTGTTTGCCAGTTTTATTGATTTCCTTTCATCCTCCAAAGGTGGTGAATTCATTTTGTTTGGTTTTTATTTTATATTACATTAACCAAAGCCCATACTTTCTTCAGATTTCCTTATTTTTTTTTTCCTAGAGTCCTTCTTTTCCAGGACTCCATCCAATATACCACATTGCATCTAATTGTCTGTCTCCTTTAGGTTCCTCTTGGCTGTGGTAGATTCTCAGACTTCTCTTGTTTTTGACAACATTGACAGTTTTCAAGAGCACTGATCAAGTATTTTGTAGAATGTTCCTCAACTGAGATTTGTTTAATGTTTTCCTCATGGTTAGAGAGTGTTATGGATTCGGGGCATACAAAGGTAGAGTGTCATTTTCATCACATCCTATCAAGGATACATATTATCCACACGACTTATTCATAATAAGGAAGTCTGAGGGAATTCCCTGGTGGTCCAGTGGTTAGGACTCTGTGCTTCCACTGTAGGGGGCACGGGTTTGATCCCTGGTCGGGAAACTAAGATGCTACATACCACGAGGTACGGCCAAAAAAAGGGGGGCAGTCTGACTCAATTTTTTGATGTTTTTTTTTTCTTTGTAATTCATTTTTTGGGGGGGGTGTTAATTTATTTTATTTATTTTTGGCCGCGTTGGGTCTTTGTTGCTGCACATGGTTGCTGCTGCACATGGGCTTTCTCTAGTTGCAGTGAGCAGGGGCCTCTCCTCGCTGCAGCAGGCGGGCCTCTCAACGCGGTGGCCTCTCCCGCTGCGGAGCACAGGCTCTAGGCACGCGGGCCTCAGCAGTTGTAGCTCGTGGGCTCTCGAGCGCAGGCTCAGTAGCTGTGGCGCACGGGCCCAGCCGCTCCACGGCAAGTGGGATCTTCCCGGACCAGGGCTCGAGGCCGTGTCCCCTGCATTGGCGGGCAGATTCTCAACCACTGCGCCACCAGGGAAGCCCCATTTTTTGATGTTTGCTGATAGTTTTTAAGCCTCATTCCTCCCTTTTCCCTTCCTGCTTCACATTTGGGACAGCTGATAATAAAGTCCAGATGCTCCTTTCCTCTGGTGCTAGTGGGAAGTACAAACCACATAAGCTTCTCCACATGCAGCCACACTGTCTTGTTTATTGTAGCTTTATAATAAGCCTTGAAGTTGGGTAGCCTGAGTCCTCCAGCTTTGTTTTGCTTCTTCAGTATCGTGTTCCTCTATGTCTTTCACCTTCTATTACAAACTTTAGATCAGTGTGTTGATACCCATATGACAGGTTACTGAGATTTGGGTTGGAACTATGTTGAATTATAGATCAAGCTGGGATGAATTGACATCTTAACAATATTGGGTCTACCAATGCATGAACATGGAATATTTCTCCATTTATCTTCTTTGATGTTTTCCATGGCAGTTTTGTAGTTTTCCTGATATATATATATATATATTATACATATTTTGCCAGATTTAACCTAAGTATCTCATTTTTTGGTACTACTGTAACTTCTACTGTGTGTGTTTTTTTTTAATTTCAAGTTCTGAATGTTCATTGGTGATACAAGGGAAAACAACTTTTTTGTTTTTAAAATGTTATATGTACACAATCATGTCTTCTGCTAACAATGACAATTTTACATCTTTCTTCTCATTCTCTATTCCTTTTATTTCCATTTCTTGTCTTAGCATCCAGTTTCTGACCAATAAGTACATTGCTAGTTTTAGGTTTTATAAAGGTGCCTTTGATCAAGTTGAGACAGTTTCCCTCTGTTCCTACTCTGGCTCTGATATTTTGTTGATACAGTACTAGAATGTTTGTAGTGAGGAGGCCCCACTTGATGAATTGAGAAAGTGACCATACAAGGATCACCAGTGACAAAGACCACATGTGAAGAGATTGAACCTTGACCCGTCCAAGTAAAATCAGCCAGATGTATATGGATGGTATTGCCTCATTGTGAATATCAACTGCAGCAACTTCTCTCTAGTTAAAAATATAACCAGGACATTGGCCTCAGGAGAGACCAGAAGATCAAATATTTAGAGAAATCAATTCTGCAAATCATCTAGTCTCAACTTGAAAATCAAACCAAGTGAGACGAAAACAACATAGCTGAGAAGTCGATTTTCAGGCTTCCTTCCATAATATCAGAATGCTTGGACCAAGAAAAAGCACTCACTCCATGGGAAATCTTGGTAAGTGTACCCACTCTTAGTTACAATAATGAATTAAACCTCTTATATTACTTTCCATTACCCCTCTTTCTTTCACATGGAAAATATTATATCAATATATCTACCCTGGGAGACCATATTCTCATAACTTTGTCAAAGGTATAGATTTTATTTCTGCCTTACTACTGGTGAAAGTGGGTAAGAATGGAAGTCAAATGGTGACCCTGAATGATGTCATTATTATTTAATTACTCTCAGTTATGCAAATTAGTACAGAGGACTTATGACAGAATGGCAGGTGGTGAAACATCCCACATATGTACTTTTGAAATATATATTCAGCTTTAATACTCTGATGCCCAGAGTCTAAGTCCTCAGCATGAGACCTATCAATACCTGCCAAACTCTTTCC